CTCCTTTCCCGCCGAACACCCCACGCTTGCTGACCCTCACGTGCTGCTTCTTCCTCTGCATGATTACTTCTACTGCTGACTTATTCTGCTGACTTTGCTGCTGCCCCACGTTGCTGACCTCCCCATGCAGCTGCCATGATGGACTTCCCTGCTGCTTCTGCTGCCGTGTTGCTTCTGCTCCGCCCATGCCATTTCTGGCTTGCTTCTGCTTCTGCACTGCTGATTGTTTCTGCCTCTGTTTCTGCTGACTTGCTGCTGACTTCTTGCTGCACCTTCACGTGTGCTTTGCTGACCATTGACCCATGCTGCCCCATGCTGCTTCACGTGCTGCTTCTGTCCATCATTGCTGCTGCCGCTGCTTCTTCTTCACTTCTGTTGCTGCTGTTTACTTCTTCATTTTGCTTCTTTGCTTCTTGCTTTTTCTTGCTGCCGCTCACCAGACCGACCAGCTCCCTTGCTCAGCCACCCTCAGCCACCGTGAGTGCCAGCGCTCGCCCGTCCAGCTACTGTGAGCTCAGCTCACTGCCGGAGTTGCTGCTGCCTCTTCTTCTTGGTTTGCTTGCTTAGGATTCCTAGTAAGTGGCTTCCTAACTCTTGACTAGGCTAAGGGGTGACTAATGGACATGTTAGGGATGGTTTAAGGGCAGTGGATAGTTGGTTTAGTGGCTGGTTGTGCTTGGTTTGCTTGGTGGTGCTTGTTGGTTAATTTCCGATAAGGTTGCTGCTGCGTCGCTGGATGTTACTATTTTTACTGTGACTTGTGTGGGACGAATTTGAGGAAGTGTTCTTCATGAAAGTTGTTCATAACATCTTGAAGTTTGACATATATTAAATCTGGAATTTTTGGAGATCATTTAGTTCCATTCGTAAGTCCATTTTTGGACCGGATTCAGTCTGCCGGATTTACTGTTCATCCGACCATCTGGTCTCTCCGATTTTCTATAAATTTTTCCAGACCTCTTTTCAACAAAATTCCTTCACAAAAATTGTTAAGAACATTTTTTTCTATGACATATAAAATTTTGAAGCCTTTCCAAAATGATTTGGGTACTGGATGAAATGCATTTTGATGGTCAGGCGGCCTGACCGAACGGGTTGAATTTTGTCTGACTTCAAGTGACAAAAAGAGATGTTTACAGTAGGAACTGGGTTTTGAGTTCTTCACGGAAAATGTTTATCAAGATGTTTTATACGACATATCCAAATTTCAGAATTTTTGGAGTTGATTTACTATTTATTTTAAATGAAATTCGGTGACTATGTTACTGCCCAGTTTGGCTCCGATTCTGTGCATACTCGGTTTTTCTCTCTCTCGGGAACTGATCGGTGTTACCATGACATTTTGGTGGATTTAGTTGACATTGGGCTAATTTACAAAGATAAGAATTGGTAATGATTGTTGAGGTGTGTGCATGGTCACGACACGTTCCGTCTAGGCGGGAGTTCTAGACGATGCCCGGAGGGAGTTCGGATGCCGTCTAGGCGGGGGTTCTAGACGTTGCCGATCGCGGTAGAGGCCGGATCGATGCTCCTTTGTGGAATGCCGTCTGGGCGGGGGTTCCGGACGTTGCCGTCGCCGAAGTAGCGGGACGATGCCTGGTTACGCCAGAAGACCGGCGGGAGTTCGGTGGCCCGAGGGGTCGTTAATAATCTGGACTTAATGAGTGCGATTTGCATTGGGGAATGCTTTGCCTGAGTTAATTGATGAGCACGTCTGGATTATTAACCATGTTATGCTTGATCATGCCATGAATTGTTTTGCGTGTGCTTGATGGGCAATTGGCCATGTTATGGCGATATTCTAACGTGCAGGGCTTGTGTATGCGCCAAGGCGAGGTAAGGACGCCTGTGATTGTTTATGGCACGTCGATTGTTTGAATCGCATGTTTAGAATTGTTCGGAAGTACGCTTTGGCCTAAGCGAGGCTTAGGTAGTTGCTTATTGAGAAGTGTTCTCATGGTTGTATAACCAAACCATTTCAGACCAGCGACTGTGATTGATCCGGAGACGTTGCCAGGATACTACGGGGATTGAGGATAGGTCGAGTTACCCCGTCTTTTGAGTGCACCTTTTTGCAGAGGAGTTAAGCTTATCAACCACCCGATCCTTGTTGTTGTGCGTGGTTCGTAGATAGTGGCCTCGTAGAAGGCTTGCAAATGTATGTGTTGTAATCGACGTTATGTTTATAAAAGTGTATTGTTTATGTGTGTTCTTTGTCTTTCTACTATCCCATTGTTTATATGTTGTACAGAGAGTTCGAGGTTGCTTCCGCATGCATTACTCGTTAGTGTTTCGATTGGGTCGGCAACAAGTCCTGGGCTGTCGTGTACATTACGACCACAAAGGGATGATCGCCCGCTCGTAGGGTTTGGGGCGTGACATTATCTCTCCTAATTCGGCCAATTTACCATTTAAGCATCGATTTAACGAGGGGGCAAAATTAGGTGTCAACAAGTACATATTTTGATTGTTTCAATTCCGCTGTCATTTTGTAAGATCGGTCATAATCACCTATTCACCCCTTCTAGGTGATCCTTACTAGCCACCACACATGTTTTTTCTTTTTCCGCACAAAATCCCAACAGAATGGAGAGATAAAAACACAGCCACACGTGTGAAGAAAGGGAGGGAGGACCAATAAAAATTCTCCCTTGTTCATCAACTTTGATCGCCATTATTTCCCTGCATTAACGAAGGCGCATTAAGCTTTTGGACTTTTAAGCGCTAAGGTTATACCTTAATATTGTCTTGCGTGGCTTGCTATGATTGGTTGAAATGAACATAACGTGTATTTCAATGCATCATAATTGTCATCGCACATCACTGTCTCATGCATATTTAGATTTTTGGTCACACTCATAATTTGTTTTTTAGGGCAATGCATATTAGTTTTAGAATGCATATAGACTTAGGATAATCCATAGTTTTCATTAAATAAATGCCAGACAAAGAATGTCATTAAAGTTCCATTTGGCTTGCATATAGATTTAAGGTTAATTAATCTCATAGCATGCATATTATATAATGCACATCATGTAGTAAATCATAAATTAATAGGGTTGATTTTTAGTAGTCATATCATTTAGATAGTTTTAGCTATTAATTGCTTCACATTCATCACCCGCATTGCATATAATTCATACAGTATTAAGGAAATGCGAAAATTAGTTAGCATTGCATCATTTAGTCACAAAATAACTTAATAGTAGTTCGTTAGGTCATGTGTAGAGTCCTAGGTTTAAATTTGATGTTTTCAAAAAATAAAAAATAAAAATAACAATTCATATAGTTGGCATTATAAAATAAATTCGTGGTTTTTCTTAGGTCCTTCATATGTGTTAAATTACCTTAGAGTTATATGCATACATTACCTTAGAAAATAGAACTATGTCATCTTGCACCTAGGACTTAGATTGCACTTTCATTAATCATATAGTAACCTAGGCTATAATTTGTTGATTAGGAAATAATGCATAATCACTTAATTTGTAGATTTTTAGGGTCATTTGTCTTTTGTTAAGGATTACATTAAATTCACATCGCTGGCATTTATTAGGTTATTTAGGATTAATTTTAACTAGTGTCTCACATGGATAGTATTTAGAATTAATTCTATAACATATAATTTAGAATCCATCATGCATATCATATAGTTGCGTCATTCTTGCATGTCATTTAGTTATTTAATTAGTGCATATGAGTCAATTCCCGTCACATAGAATTTTAGGATTCAATTGTGCGTTTTCTCAAATCCTGCAGTTTAATTAAATGAGAAAAATACAAAAACATTAGTATGGATTGCATGTTAGTTAGTCAATTAACTCATGGACAACATCCGTACATTTTGTCTAAATATTTTCCTGACTAATAGTTAGAAAAATTTCATGACATTGGATAGTGATATGTTTGCTTTGCCTAGCGCGTCTAGGTTCTTTATATTTTCTACAAATCTATTTATTGCTTTGATTATTGGCCGTTACTTTCTTAATTAAGCACTTGCATGATCATCTGTCATATCATAGTGGCATAGGATAAAACCCGACAAAGATTGCATGTAAAACATTTTCGAATTATAGAAAAAGGGAATAGAAAGGGCGTTAGATTATTCTGGCGTAACCAAGTCCTCGAATCCTTTGAATTTTGGTTCACAAAAAAATATGTACTCTCACATTTTACTCGAGTGTCTAAACGACCAATTACCGATTAGTGGCGGCTCAAAAAAGTAAGATTAATTACATATTGGATTCAGTACAAAGTTGCGATTGCTAAGGCTTGGAGAGTCTGTGCTAAGCACTATGCTTAGAAATCCATTAGCCTTCCCTTGGTGGTTCACCTCCAGGAAGGTCGCGACATATATATGCTAACTGGGCACGTCAAGGAGCCACGTCGGTTGAAGAATTTAATAAAATATGCCACGTCAAATTTCCAAATATCCAACTAGGAGTTGGCACTTAAGTGATCATTCCTTTTAAAAAGTGGAACTCAAGTGATCCGAAAAATACTTTTTGCACCCAAGTGAGTGCCGTACGAAACTTTTGACACTTCCAGTATCCTTATGCCATTTCCTTGCTTTAAAAACCTCTGCGATGACCAATTGAAGTACTTCTTCATGGCTGCAACAATACAGAATTGAAGGATAGTTCATTTTAGTTGGAAAGACAGAAACTTAAAGAATATCAAAATCATGATCTAATCGTTGATTTGATTTCTCAAACCACTATAACGTGAAGATCCTTAACTCAGTATACAAAACAAAAGAAAAATGAAAGAGTAGACGATGAAAATGTGCGGCCGTACTACTATGTTGTTCGACCACAGAGTTCCTCTGGATATTACAAACTAGAAGGACCTACTTCTAATTTTATAGGAATGAATTTGCTTGAGTGGACAACTATATGTATGCAAAAGGGTTGCATTGCAGTAACTTTGAAACTCTCTATGTTTGGAAAGTTCAATTGAATGACTTACTTACCTCATAATTTAGTGGCAAAATAGAATAATTACCTGATATTTTTCAACACGAACCCACTCATTGCTGCGACCTCAATTAGAGCCTCTTTCCATGCCTTCACTTCGCTGTGGTCGAAGTTCATCCAGTGCTTGTCCAAGTCGCTTTTATATAAATCAGTTTCGAGCTTAACATCATCAATCTCCACGTCATAGAACATGGGGATGATTATTCTTTTCCCCTTTGATTCTGATGTGCTTTTTACCATGTGGACAAGTTCGCGGAGACACCAATGACTGGAAGCGTAGTTTCTAGAGAAGACTGGTATGTAGATATAGGAGTCGGCTAGTGCTTGTAGAATCTCTTCCCCAATCCCTTCACTGGACCTCCTATCATCGTCATCACTATAAACAGAAATTCGATCTTGTGACATACCATAGTAAAGGAAATTGACAATGCTGAAACGAGTGTCTGGACCCTTAAAACTTAGGAACACATCGTACGTAGGTAATCTGTGGGAAAGCCAAGTCAATCTCGAGACATCCAATAATCTTTCCAGGATATTGCGGCTACAACTATCCAATACCCAGCTTTCTAAGCCCTCAATTCCCTCAATGGCTCTTAAATTTGGACACGCTTCTATCTCAAGATGTTGTAGCTTACCCAACTTAACCAAGTTGGGTAATTGTCCTATTAAATCACAACTGGAAAGAAGGAGGTACTGCAAAGATTCCAGTTCCGACAAACCTTGAATCTCAGCTAGCCTATTCAAGCCCTTCAGTTTTAAGCGCTCCAGACTCCTCAAGAGTGACAAACCAGGTATTTCCTCAAGGGATTCACATCTTGTTATGTGCAGTTCCCTCAAATGTGTTAGACCTGGAGTGATAGGTAGGTGTGATATTGGACAGTCAAATACATACAAAACTGTCAAATTTAATAAGTCGGAATAATGTGGCAGTGGACTAATATTTCTGAGTTTCAAGGACAACAAATGAGATGGAAGCTGATAGGATGGCTGCTCCCTCATCAAAGCTGCTTTAAGTTTTGAGTCATAGTCCCGCCTAGTTGAGTGATGTCCAATTCTCAAATTGTTAAATCTAAATAATTCCAAATGCTCTAAATCGGTGATGCTTGAGGGGTGAGGGACAAGAGAGAAGTCCATAGCTTGAACCGAAAGGGATTTCAAACTTGATGGAAGAGCCGGCACTTGTTGAAGCTCAATCGAACCCACTTTAAGATTTTCAAGATGGAGATTACTTATCTCTGGAGGCAATCTAGAAACACTAGTTAATCCTAAGTTCAACGTCTTCAAATGGAATAGCTTCCCAATTTCCTCCAAGTTCTTATCCGTTAGATCGTAGGATTTGTGGGCATATAAACCTTCGAGCATCTCCAGTCCTCCAATAGTACGAGGAAGCTCCTTTATCTTCGTTTTACATAAACTCAACACCCTTAATTTCTTTAAGTTTCCGATAGAATCGGGTAGTTCAATTATGCCTGACGTTGATACATTCAACTCTACCAGCATTTGTAACTCCCCAATTGAGCTTGGAAGTTCCTTTATCCCCACGCACCCCCATAAAGTTAAGCGTGTAAGATTCACCGCCTCTACAATTGAGTCTGGAAGTTGGCAGATTTTAGGGTTATCATCTAATAGAAAACTCGACAAAGACTTCAAATTGCCAAATCTCTCCGGAAGCTTTAGGGGTTGAAAATTTTGGGGCATGACGATCTGCTGCAAAGATTGTAGAGAACAGATTTCTTCAGGCAACTCCCCAAGAGAGCTACACCCTTTGATGTTCAAAGTCTCTAGGAGTTGAAGCTTAGAAATGGAGGGGTGAATTGTGATTAAGTTGGAACACCGAGCAAGTACTAACGTCTCCAAGGAGGTGAAATTTGAGAAGTCGGGTGTCTTCCTCAACTTTGTGCAATCCGTTAAATCCAGAATTTTTAATTTTGTTGTCATCTGCAGAAAAAGAAAATGTGGAACTAAAAAGAATGAAACACATCAATCATCCTAGATTTTATGTAAGTAATTAATCTCATTTTTATAATTCAATATACTCCCTCGTTTACTTGCAAATGGCACAACTAGGCCGCTTCAAACACTTCCTTCGGGGTAAATGGAATAATCTTCCATTCATGGCAAACTTGTACCGTCAATGTAATTGAAAATTATTAAGTCCTTTTTTTATTATAAATTTATTGCTCAGAACTAAATCTTAGTGGTGAAATAGTAAGTTCGTAGTGAAATTCATAAGCTACTAGAGCTTTATTGTGATAAAACAGTTTGTTTGTTTGTAAAAAATCACCGGCAACCAATACTATTAGTAAAGTACATAAGCAATTAATTCAAACTCCACAAATGAAAAAACCTGCTAATTTGTAAAGAACACCGAAATGTTACTGACCACAAGCATTAGTACTTGTAAATTCAAAATAAATCTAATATTGTACTACAATTTTATAGTAAAAAAATAGTTTTTTTGTTCCTAAGTCACGATCGTCAACCAATACTCCTAGTAATATATGTAAGCAATTCATAGTTCACCAGCTAAAAAACGCGCTCCCTGGTCAAAGCGAGCGACACTTCCTAGTCTACAAAGCTATTTCAACTCGATGAATCAATTTATTTAGTTGTATGTTACTGAAAAATCAAACTCTACACTCAGTAAAATCAAAGAAATGGTCATAATCTACTAACCATTTACCATTGTAAATAATATTTTGTTTGTAAGTTAGAACAATTAAACGACACCATTAGTAAAGTATCTACGCAAATCGTAATCTACTAATTAATGAAGGGGATTGCTTGTAATATTCAAAAACAATTGGTAATCTACTATTAGGTTTGATGATGGTAAAGTTGTTATTTTGCTAATAATTTATCGAACTCAAAAGTTGCTAATCAGTTCTTACTTGTCAATGATATTTCAAATTGGCCATCTATCATTCAAGTTTACAATGCACAAGTAAGATTAAATCTGATTGCAAATAGCCCTTAAAGTTTAAATCTTCCCATGATTTTGAAAACGTTGCGCATGGAACTATATTTCAAGTCTACAACTATACGAGAATGGGGCACTTCTATATATCCCTCACTCGTGCATCTTCTCCACATAGGGTCGTAATTGAGTTAAAAACATTTTGTAAAGCGTCATAAGAGAAATTTACGATGTTACAATATTTCGTCACGATCAAGTCTTAAAAGTGTCATAGAAAAAGAGATCTTCAACATACGGTTGTATCAAAGGAGCATGGAAAATTATCCAAAATATCCTAAACTTATTGTATAGTAATCAATTTAGTTATAAAACCTTTCAATTATGTCAATTAAGTCCTAAACCTTTTAATTATCCCAATTTAGTTCTAAGCATTTTGACGATTTGTCAATTTAGCCATAAACCTTTTGACGATTTGCCAAATTCTTTCATATAGAAACCGTCAACATGGCTGTCTAGTCAACGTCTGTTGTTCTACGTGGCACGACTGTTGTTGACATGGACAATTTTTTTGCATTTTTTAAATTTTGTTTAATTCTTTTGATTTTTTCATTCTTCCTCTGCCGATCGCCACACCTTTGGCGATGGCCGGTAACCAGCCACAGGCGAGGGCTGATGAGGTCAGCCTCGCTAGCCTCACCCAACCATTACAAGGCTCGACCTTGCCTGATTTGACAAGGTCGGCCTCGGGTGAGGGTCGACCCTCACCCAGCAATGGGGAGGTCGAGCCTCGAAACAGGTGAGCAAGGCTCGCCTTTGTCGGGCTAGCGAGGTTGACCTCGCTAGCAGCCGGTGAGGGCCGGCGAGATCCATCGAGGACCTTGCCAGCTAGAAGAAGAATGATAGAAAAAATTCAGAAAAATTCAGAAAAATAAAAAAAAAATGTAAAAAATTGTCAATGTCAGCGACAGCTGTGACACGTAGGACAGCTGGCACCCACGTCAGCGAATTTCTAACCAAAATTGATTGAAATGACTAAATTGGCAAATCGTTAATTTATTTAAGACTACATTGAAAATCGTCAAAAAGTTTAAGACTAAATTAGCATAATTAAAATATTTATGACTAAATTAGCAATTTATCAAAAGGTTTAGGACTAAATTGACATAATTAAAAAATTTAGAATTAAATTAGCCACCGTATAATAAATTTAAGATTTTTTGGACAATTTTCCAAAGGAACAGCAATGTCTTGTCTTCCCTTTTGAAAAAGAAGGTGAAGGCCATCCAATTTTCAGCCTAAGAAGGTCTTTAGACTACACAAAGCCATAAAGCATCCAAAGTCCAATCTCCAAAGTAAGTAAATTGAGTTCCTGAGACCAAGGCAATAATGGATGCTTGGATAGTACTATGGGCTGGTGAGCACAGGTAATGATTTTTGCTAGTACGGATTTTACGCATATCATATTTATCTGTCGCTCGATTACTAAAGCAGTTTCTACTGATTGAATGAAATATAGAACAATAATGATATTCTGCTCGTGATATCAATTTATGGGATGATATGCTAATGCCATGTGATTCTATAGCTTCATCTCCTTTCTTTTGAAATGTGTTTAGCTGGTTGTAGTCGAATCTAGATGTGCGACTAACACAAAATATTTAGATCAGGGGAGCACACCACCGATGTGTACCGTGCGTTGAATGATCTGTAAAGATGGAATAAAGGTGAATGGAGTAAGGCATATTGTACCTGGATTTGGTTCCACCCACCCCAGTCATCTTCGATCTTGCTCCTTGAAAGGTCTAGCACTACCAAACTAGCAAAATGAAAATTCTCCGCATAAAATTCCTTATTAGTAATTTCCCAGGAAAACCATCTTAGCTCCAAAAGAAGATTCTCGAAGTTTCCAAAAAAATCAGTGCCTTTCACTTGAAGGAACCTTAGATTTGGTAGAGCAACTAATTCTTCAGATGCAATACTGTGGCTGTAGCCATCGGAAGTCAGGCTTAGGCCTACCATATCTTCATTTCTCTGCATATCACAGACTCAATATTGAGCAAGCAACAAATGGCATGCAGAGCTACAACAGAGACGACCCAAAAGCACGGTCAAACAATTTCTCCAGTGGATGAGCTCGTCACATACGCTTTCCAGAACTATGGCACACTCTTTTTCCTAACTAGTCGTTGTTTCCTACTCTTCTACATAAGAAACTAATTTTCAAGTCTGAAGGTATCAAGTTTTTGATTTCTACTTTTCGGGAAATATAATTTGCATATTAATTCAAATTTCTTCTTAGTTTATTCTAAATATCAGGGTTGAAAATAATCTTAAAATTCTTGATAAAGCAAGTTTTCTTTTCATTTTTCCTGGATCACACGTTAACCGTTCTTTATTTTTTCAAATTTTCAAAAAAGCTATTTTCTATAGACTAGAATCAAGAAAATAAAGCCAGCGGTCAGGCAATCTCTTTGGACTCTCTCTTCAAACTTTTTTTTTTGGTCGGAAACTCTCTCTTCAAACTTTGAGACCTTTGAACTGAAGGTTTGACTGAGAGATGTAACCACCGCGGGACAAAAACGACGTTAAACAAAGCTATCTTTTGGATGCAAACTTTGACTAAAATACTGCTTTAAATGGGAACGAAAATCCAAAGAATTTCTTGCACCAAAAATTTTCAATCATTAGCAGTTCCCATTTACCTTTTTTCCCTGCAGTAGTTTTAGGGCCTCCTCACGAATCCAGACCCTACAAAACTTGTGAGGATATACTTGAAGAACAATGTACCTTCCGAAGTCTCGAACTTGGTCATGCATCCAAAGCCTATTATCATCTCTAATTTTGATCAAGGACCTCTGAGAGAGAACCCTCATTGCAATGCTAGGAAAGTATCCACAATCCTTCCACATGATAACCGGATATGTTTTGTCGGCATTAATGAAAAAGCAGGCTATATCCAGAAATACTTCTTGGTGCTTATCCTCTAATCGTTTATAACTTATCATTAATGTATCTCGGACATCCTCAAAAGGACCTTCCTTTAACTTCTTTAGCGTCTCATCCCATACTTCTCTTTTATCCGAATGCCCCAAATCTTTGCCCCAGTCAAAAAGATTGGACCCTATCACCACAACGGCCAAAGGAAGCATGCCCACTGTACAAACAATTTCCCTTGAAAGAGCATCATATTCTTCTATAGCAGAGTCGCTTCTGAATGCATGCTTGTAAAACAGACGAAGTGCTAAATCAAATCTCATTCCACAAACTTCATAACGTAAAATTCCTTCCGGTTGGTTGAGTACCTCTTTATTGGATGAGCCCACTTGAGTCATCAGGATGCTTTCGTCCCTAGTTGTGATAATGATTTTGCTACCAGAACAAAACCAATCAGATTTTCCGGCTAGTTTTTCAAGTTGCTCTTTCTTGTCTAGATCATCAAGAACAA